AAAAAAAATCTCCAAGAAATGTTCTAAACGTGTCGTAACCATGCTTTCCATTAATTTGCTAAGGCACGATGTCAAAACTATTGATATGCTTTAAAGTCTTTGGGGTCTTTCTTGGGTTATTTTAGCGGGATGTTGATTTGGTTTCTGCATGCCTGTGGGATACCTGTCTCTGGTCTAAGGATTCCATTAAAAAGTTGCAATAAGGTAGTTTTCATAAATGGCGGTAGTCTTGACAACATAGGGTAAGAAGTTCCGTCTCCTAGCGCTGTATCCCTTTTTTTCCTTGAAGAACAATATCAAGCTCCTCTATACCTAATTCAATGCACTCATCCTTGATCCGATTATTCACCAATACCTCTGGATTGCCGCTGACAAAAGGAGGGGCTAGCATATTCAGTAGGTCTGTCAACCAATGTGTCTTATCTGTGTATTTGATTTCATTCACTATATTGTTTTCTTAACTACCCTCCAGGCATACTCGATTGCTGATTCTCTACTAAGTGTTTCTGTGAACTTTCTAAAGCCATCTTTCTTTTTTTGCTTTAGGATTCGTCATGCATCTCAAATACATTCTCATCGCCTCTTGTCTTTCAGCTGTTATTCTGTTACAATCTTCATCCATCCCACCAAATTGGCTTAGGGGTATATTATTTGTTTTTTCTTGACCCTGAGACTCTTGAGGTAGCTTCTTCCGCTGCCTGATGGATTTTATCGGTAAATGCCTGATAGGTATCAATATCCTTCTCAAAGAACCTGTCATATTTATCCCAGTCTGCTATATCCGTTTTCAATTTCCTTAATGGCTTCCTCTCCTGTTTTTGACGTATAAATTGTTTTCTAATGCAGCATACAGTCGTGAGATGGTCACTGAAACCACTCTGTTCGGAAACATACCAGTTACAGCTTGTTCCCAGTTCCTGTGATACGATTGTTATGCCTGGAAAACTTTTATTTTGGTTTGGTGGGGATTATTCTCGTGCTATTATCCTCATTTATAATTATTAAATTGTCACTAATATATTTCATCAAGTGCCTGCCATTAACATTATTAATCTGTGAACCCCATAGGCTATATTGAGCATTTAGATCCCCCATGATGATGAATGGAGCTTGTATTCCTCCAAAGTAATTTTGGATGTTGTTTCGAGAAAGTATGACATTTGGCGGGAAGTATATGCCGTGACAATAGTAGCTTCTTTAATTTTGATCCCCATGACTTGGCATCTTTGGTTGAAGTTATTATTCATGTTACATTTAGTATCGGGTATGCCTTCTTTGATCAAAATAGTAATACTTCCTTTTCCATCATTTCTATTCAATCTGTGTGTTACATAGGATTTGACCTTCAGAGTATTGTCTGTCTTGAGCCATGACTCATGAATCAATAAAACATCCGGGTTGTCGTTATTTATTGAGTCGAATCGCTGAAGTTTCTTAAAACATTCTCAATGTTCCATTGGATTATTTTCATGTTGGGTTTGTTCATAATAAAATTGATCTACATTAGCGTGTGCATCTTCCAAAAGTTATTGATTGAGGTATTGTGATCGGATCCCCCAGATTCCTGGGTTGCATTCTGGATTTCTTCCATAATTACATCTTTCACCTCCTGGGTCAAAGTTGTCTTGCCAATAAATTGTTTTACAACCTCTAATATTGGTGTTGGTTGGAACGAGTAGGTACTACCAACTTTCCTTGTACTCCTTTGAGTAGGCGTTCTTGCAGGAGAAGAAATTAGACATTTTTTGTGCATTTCTCTGTCATACCCTGGTGAACAGGGATTTTTTTCTTTTCAGGTTACATGCAGCCGAAGCATACGATGGTTTTCTTGGAGTCGTAGTGGTTGATATGTATAAATGTCTCTGGTTCTGAAGCTCTTCTTGTAGGGTTCAGAACTGGAAAGTCTCTATGATCCAAGTCCTATATTTTCATCTCCTTTCGGGTGTTTATTCCTAGCTTTAAAATAGGAGATGTTTTCTGTTATCATTGTAGTTTTGATTGCTTTTTGTCTCAAGTACTCCTTGCATTGTCTATCAGTGGTTTTATGTTCCATGTTGCAGTATAAGCAATTAGGTTTTGTTCACAGTCCCTTTCTTCGTGCTCTTCCGCACATATCGGACATCTTTGTTTGCCTTGGCACTGTTTGGCCGTGTGGCCATATCTTGAACATTTGAAACACATCAATACTGAACTTATATTGACTGAGATCATTACATCACAGAAATCTAGGTTTGCTGACCTTGGAATCACTTTCCCTTGGAAAGTAAACACCACTGATTCAGTGTTTACATAGATACTATGACCATTTTCAGTTATTCTCTTCTTTAACCTCCTGGCCTCAACAACATTTGCAACGGATTTTATATACTCGACTATTTCCTCTTCTGATAAGTCTTTGTAAATACCTCTGGCTATTCTTTTGCAAGTGACTAGGCTAGCTGGAATATATGTATTAAGATTTTCCTCTAATAACATTTTATTATTTAAAAATTCGTTTGCACTAAGATAATCAGTAAATTCTATTCCAACCCTGTTTTTACCTTTTCTGCAGGTTTTCTCCACTCCTCCTACTTTTCTATTTCTTAAAAGTCTACCAATACTCATGGGATGCATATTACCAATAATATCTTAATTTTTGCTTTCAACAATAATCATGTAAGGTTTAGAATCTCTGAATGTGTATGAAAAATTAGTTTCCTTTTTTTTATATTTCCTTTAGGTGGGGGCACTCGAAGGAACCCTGGGCTGGAACTCTGTAACGGATCAGGATCGTCATCCCTATCGTTATAGCACTTGCTGTCTTCTTCTTTCTTGTCGAAATCAATAGAGAGGAGACGTCAATAGAGATAAAGAAAATATCTCTATTCGTTACAGAGTTCCAGCCCTTTCTACAATCATGTGGTTGTGATATTATTTTAGGTTAGAATTAGACTAAGGCAAGCAGAATTTTATTCTGAGGACTAACCCCCAGATGCACTCAAATATTTTCTCTTCCACAATTATGTATTTTCGCTACCTAAACACTTTTATTTCGCAAAATTAAATCGAAAATTAGAATACCGAGCTATCACTCTCTGGCGCCAATCGTCGACCTCAACTTCGTGCCTATTTTCATTCACTGTTCAAGTAATTCCGTTTGTCAAAAATTATAATTATTTCTGTTTTTTTGGCTAGTCTTTAGTTTTTACGGTTCTGCATCATCCAATTCAATTGATTGGGTTTGTCAACACTAGGTTTTTTAAACTCAATTGAAGCGACTGGAAATTTTAGTGAAACATTTTCCTTTCGATTTTGGAACAAAGCTTTAGTAGTATACTTACTCTTCACAGTCCTCACCTCTAACATAATTGTCCAAGATTGAAGTTTTATTTTTATATTTTGTAAATCATAGACAAGCTTCACTGTAATAAATCACTCAATTTAATTGCAATTAATATATGTACAAGATTCAAATTATTATAGCATTGAATTAATTCTATATAATAATATACTTAATTCTGCTTTCTGAAACGTTTTGGTAAAATACTTTTTGACTTAGTTAATAAATGCCCAATTAATAAATATTGGACGAAAATTAAGTATATTTTCAGAGTTTTTCTAAAATAAATTTTTCTTGAAGCTACATACACTATGCATAATGAAATTAATCTGAAACACATAATATACATTACCCACTACATACTTTTTTTCATTGCATGGATTTTAGCCATTACTAAAAATATTTAATAATATAATTCATATTATGTAGATATCAAGACTGTTGTTTTATAAAATACATACTTTATATAAAAAAAAAACATGAATTTCTAATTTAAAACAACACTCATGATACAATTATCATTTTTGTTTTGAAATTCTGTTCCACTTTCGAACTATCAAGGTGTGCGAAACATCAGCCAATGACATTGCTGGCTGATGTGGCACATCTGCTCGAAAGAGTTTTGTATATCGCAACAGAAATATCCGTGAAAATGCGCCATCCTCCGACATTGTACCAGTATCCAAAAATACTTGCTTGTCAGTGAAAATTGTTTGTTACCGAAACGCGTATTGCATTTCTAAGCGCCACATAGGAAGAACCAGACATGAAATGTTGAATTTGTTGATTGAACTTTTGAGGCATTCACCTGTAGAAGAGTAGCGGTTTTAAGTCTATTTATGTTTTATTGGAAGTTATTTTCATTTTTTGCACACTGAAGTTTATTAGGGCACATTTTAATAAATAGACCCTGCAGGTGATGATTTTATTTTAAACTCAAACTTATTTTGGCAATAGATGCCAACGGTCTCTATATTTATATTAATTGTGTATAATATTTGGACTGGCTCTAAACACTAAACGAAAATATATGAACTTGGACTCAGATTAAAATATATCTGGAAAAAGATGACTGATTTCAATGTCTAAAGCATTGCAATCTTTGTAGCCAGCATAAACAAACATTGGGCAAGAGGGTTATTTTGGGTACTACCAGTGAGATGGAAGTTCATTGCATTTTGCTCGATTGGAGTAATTTTCAACTTGAGATTATGCGCTCAAACAAAATGTGTTCAAGGGCTGCCTCTGAGTTGCCAATCGCAATAGAAATCACAAATTGACATATTAAATTGTGTATGCTCATTATTTCCTGACAAGCTAATTTAAATAATACAATTTTATAATTATAAGATATGTCAGATTTCAAATATTTCTGGTGCCATATATGCTTTTTAAGTGTGAATACTTGCAAAATGTTTTGCCATTTGAAAAAAACCAAAACAAAATCGTATGATTGCTGATTTGGCAATCCCTTTGCCTCTTTATCTTTGCTTGTCGGGCCACAATCGACCTTGCGTGCACTGTTGCCAAATCGATGATGACCATGACCATAACGCAATGATGCCACTGACTGTGACTGCCTTCCATCCCACCTACAAACCACAACTGATATGATGATACTATTGGCCGAATCCGTCTGCTCGAACAACCACAACAACCATGTTGACGATGCATCAAACAGAGCTCGAGAGCGCCCTCAGTGGAAGATGATGAGGAAGGCCACCTTATTTACCGATCAGGGGACATCCTGCAAGATCGATGTGTGTGAATTCAGCTTGATATAATAAAAACTTTAACGCTTCTAGGAATTTGAGATTATTTGTTGGATATGTAATGGGCGTTGACTGTCAAGAATTGTATGTTATAAGTCATTTCTCATATGCTTTTGCTTTTCAAACTAATTAATATATTCTATCTATCTGAGCAACTTACAATTCCTAACTGTTGATCTTATCCAACAAATTATGTCCAGTTTTGTGAAGTGTATACTATACTATGAGCCAAATTTTTCTTGCACATAATGCATTTCCCTGTATTAACTTTATGTTTCAATCAATATAATAAATTGGATATTTCAATAATTATAGACGTTTTAAAAGGCCTTGGTCTTGTTTGCCACCAAAAATGTTGTGATTGGTCATTCGTGAAATACTTATTTGATCAATGACCAGAGCAATCTGAAAACGTTTTTGTTTTAAAAAATCAAAATCAAATCCTTATGGGAAATACACTTTATTCAAGTTTGATTTAGCCCATAGTATAAATTTAGATTACAATCTACATATTTAAGTAAAAAACGCGTTTAGAAAAATCCTAGAACAGTTTTTTTTTTTTTTTTAAAGTTCTTTTTATTGCTTGTAAGTGGGAATCAATGTTACAGGCAAAATTTTGGCTAAATTTTAAGAGGTTAAGAGAACTTGGTTAAACATAAGGGATTTTTTTGCATGAATCTAAGATTTATTTTAATCTATATCTGTTAGAAACAATGCTTGCTTATTTAGTTGTTACCTATACTTTCAAACTTCAGGGACTTTTATGTGGGATATAATAAAATTATCTTTTCGAATATGTTTATAACATTATTTAGCAAGCAAGCGTTGATGTCTAACATAATAGCAATAAATTTTGACCGTTTTTGATGTTGTATTGCAGATAAAATTCTTGGCACTCTTGGGGAAGGAACTTTTGGCAAAGTGGTCAAAATGAAGGACTTGCAAATGTAAGTTGTGGTTTTTTATCTATTAAGGTTTAGTTGAAAATGTTGAAATTATCCGTTAAGTAAAATTGCAAACAACAATGAGATCAGTCGATACATATTGCATGTCTTAATAAATCATGCTTTTGTGTTTGGCTTTTATTGAAGCAGTTACATCTAGAAACCATATTATTTCATATTATTTACGATATGAAAAGTCAAGTTAAGTATGTCCCTTTTTAGTTCACTGCTGCTAAGAGAGAGTTCCCAAGCTCACTTGCTTGGGGTGTATTCTGGATAATTTGTTGGATTCTTCTTTTGTCAAAGTAGGCCAATCAAAATGTACAGGGTGTTTCCTTATATTTTGACCCCTACCTACAGCTTTAGCTATACGAGGTGGGAAAAAAACTTTAAATATGAAAATTGTAGGGTTTTATGTCTATTATCTTTTGCGTGTGTCAAAATGAGCAAATGACAGGTGCCAACTGTCAAACAATGACAAAAACACTTCCATTTTTCAAATGGAACACCCTGTATATTTTTGGCTAAAATGATAGATTTTTTTCTTCTGATTCCAAATATACCATATATGTTGATATTTGGTTCAGCTGTTTTTACGCTATTCAAGTTTAAAAATGCATTTACATTACCCTTAATTTAATCTGTCCTGGTTTTTTTTATCAATGATGAGGCTTGCTCAATGCAATTTTAAAATTAAATAGCACAAAAAGAACTGAACCAAATATCAACATATATGGTATATTTGGAATCAGAAGAAAAAAATAAATCATTCTAGCCAAAAATATACAGGGTGTTCCATTTGAAAAATGCAAGTGTTTGTCATTGTGACAGTTGGCACCTGTCATTTGCCTGTTTTGACATTCGCAAAAGATAATAGACATAAAACCCTACAACTTTTATATTTAAAGTTTTTTTCCACCTCGTATAGCTGAAGCTGTAGGTGGGGGTCAAAATATAAGCAAACACCCTGTACATCCGTGCTTGCAAAAGGTCCGGTCGTTCTAAATTTTTTATATGTTGTTAGGACCTAAACCAATATCAAAAAACCAGATTTGCAATTTCCAAGGTGCTGTGCGAGCGGCGGAGTTCCCAAAAAACCACTAAATTTTCGGACTTTTTCAGTTTTTGCTCAATATCTCAGTAAAGCAAGGGTCTGACCGGTAAAGTCACTCTACATCTTAAGTAGACTAAATTTGCTATAATTTGAGACCAGGACGAGCTCTATACAGCCATTAGCTCCCAAGATACAGTTCTACGAAAATAGGAAATTTTTTTCGAAATGGTCATTTATTTTGTGAAATATCTTCTAAAATACGCATCCCCCGTTAAATATTATAAAAACTGAAGTTGTAGTGAATTTGATTAGCTTTCATCTAAGATCAGACTGGTACCTGTAGGCCCAGCGGTTCTCCCAAACACGACAGATAATCAAAAACAGTCATAAGTGGGTTTTGGGGGAAATGCAAATAAGCTGTTCTCACGTCTTTTTATAGTTTTATTTATCAAACAGTTAATAGTTATTTATACACCAAGTGAGTTAAATGAATGTTTATTCATGAGAAGAAAGTTTAACCCACGAGCCCTAGCGAGTGGGTTAATTTTCTTCGAATGAATAAACATTTTAACTCACGCGATGTATACAAAATTTTATCCCATTTTGTGGAAATTTAAAAGATAAACTACCAGGAAAAATGCCGGGAGGGAGTTAAAAATATTTTAAATCACTGAGGTTTCAAATTTTTAGTTGGGCAGAGTGACTTAAAATGCCGAGAGTGAGTTAAAATGTTTTTATTTACGACTAATGTATAATGTGCGTATTAAATTTGTGATTTTGGCAGTATAATGACATATGTTATTCCTCCAGGGATTAATGACGAGTAGCGGGATTAATGGTCATTATTCCACAAAAGTGTCAGTGTCAGACGTGTAGTGCTTGTGGATTTGTATTGAAAATTATGAGACGTATGAAATTTGTTCATTGAAAATCTCAAATAAATTAATTTGTCGTAAATAAAGTAGAGTATACTACTCGCAATAATGGCTATTATTCCCTCGGAATGTTACTACCTCGCCGCTAACGCGGCTCAGTTCGTAATAATCCTCGGGAATAATAGCTATCATATTGCCTCGTGGTATAATCTACTATTAAATCACTGAGGTGATAAACGTCTACTTACCTTTATTGTTATGCGTTCAATAATGTCATTTTTAAACGTCAAAATGGGATAAAATTTATTTATTTTTGTTATTGTTGAAAAAGTTCATTTGTGACCTGACTATACTTGATGATTTTTTTTGATAAGGCGATTTGACGATATGTGAATTTATTAATATTCAATATGGATATTCCCCAAGTATTTTGGTTGTTCCCTCTTCTAACCTCAGTTTTTTGCGAAATGTCTATCCGTCCTGGCGTGTGTTTCGTGTGTCGTGAGGACTTCGAAACTGGTTCTATTGTGATTATTAAAGAACGAGGAATTCGAACATTGAAGTGAGTCAAAAACGTGGTCTCACAGAAAATAAAAATTTCCTCCGAAATTGCAACCAAGTCAGCGTTCATGATGCATGCAGGAAGTGATGTACAGCTGTGTAACGTTGAAGCCTCATCTTGTCGAGGAGGGGATTCTGCTTCCCAAACTTGATCGACAAGATCATCAAGTAAAGTGGTTCCTACCTTGAGAGGGATTTGCTTTTTATGTGACGATGCTATCACTGAAGAATTTCTCCAGCAACAAAGCAAACTGCCCTTGGCAAGAAGAAATGTGGTCCATACAGTTGAGAAGTTGGACATGAGGCAAACTGTTTTAGATACAGGTAGGTGCCGTGGTGACGATTGGGTAAGGGCCATTGGGGAGCGCCTCCTCGCCATCGACGACCTGGTTGCTGCAGACGGGACGTATCATAGATTGTGCTACAGGAGACTGTTTAGATTACCATCTGCTACTGGGAATAAGAGAGGGTATCGTCCAGCCAGTAATACTGAAGAAGTGATGGAGTGTGTGTACGATTACCTATTAGAAAACAGTGATGAATGCCAGTTTTCTTTATCACACCTTCTGCAGCAAATTAAGGGTGATTATATCCCTGATGTCAGAACAGCGAAAAATCACCTCCAAAAACGTATTGGCGATGACATAGTCATAGTGGAGATGGGCTCCAACAAAAGTACACTGGTCTGCTTCCACCAGCCATAAAATTGTGTATGATCATTGGTACAAGGACCAAAAAGGCGATGCGCAGCAAGAGCGGTTGAGAGTTGTGAAGGCACACAAGTGTATGATACCAGTCAGTATCCTCCCTCGGACGATTTCTTCAACAATGTTGATTCTGTCATCCCTGAGTCAGTGCAGCTGTTGTTCTCAAAAACAAGCGTGGCCTCCTCGAAGCATGGAAGAAGAAGTGTGTATCATTTTCTCATGCTCTGACAGCTGCTGTACGACCTCGATCTTTTGTTTCCTCTCTTCTGATTGGAATTGGTACCTACTTTTACCGAAAATATGGATTCCAACATCTGGTAAATATGTGCGCTGCGCTGGGGTTTTCCTGTTCTTATTCAGCAGCTGTGCAGCTTGAAACTTCGGCAATCTTACGAGATGAATCCTCACCGTCAATAGAAGAAGCAACTTTTATCCAATTTGTCTATGACAATGCAGTCATGAACGTTAACACGCTGGATGGTGAGGGAGATGGGAGGCATTATGTGCGTCCCTCGAGTGCAGTAATCCGAGACAAAAACATCCCACGTCTACAGAATTATGTTTCTGGTCAAAATCTGACCTCCAGCAGTGAAGTGCAAATCAAAGAGTGCATTAAAAAAAAAACAGTGGATTGGCAGCAATCATGGTTGAGGATTTGCAAGGAACATATTATGAAATTGATGTTGAAATTTTGCCGTTGGCTCCTGACCTAATATGGTTGTATGGAAAGTCGCTCACCAAATAGTCGATGCCAGGGTGGAATGGATCCATGGAGCAAGCCACAGAGGGGCTTCAGTTTCCACGCTCAAAAATCCTTCTCCTTCCATTTATCCGTGCCCCTCCCACTGACTACAATACGGTGTTCACTTCACTCATGGAAGCAACCGGAGCAAAGCTCATGGCCAGAAAATCACGTTCTTCACTTCCGACCAGCGATTATTCATAGAAGCAAGAGATATTGCCGACAGTAGACTTCACCCGGAGTTGAACAGTGTAGTTTTACCTGTGGTTTTACGGCTTGGTGGATTTCATCTCATTAGCACAATAATGGGTGGGAGTGGTCTGAAAGAGATACTAACCCTCATTGTCCCCCATCTACGCATGCCATGCCACAGTGTTGACAAAATTTTGAATGGGCACGCATATTCACGAGCTGTTCGAGCCCACATTTTGAAAAACCTCAAACTAGCCCGCATTGTTTTTGATGAGGTTGACATGACTCCTGAAGAGCGAGACGATACTGAAAAATTGCTGAGAAACACTGAGAGGTCTCTCATTATGTCAACAGAAGAGATTGATACCTACCAAATACTAGGCACATGGAAGTTGAGGGCAACGAATGCGCAGATGCACTCGCAAGAACGGGAGCTTCTACCCCCTTCACTGGGCTAGAACCATTCTGCGGTCTCGGCAATAGGCACTTCCAGGGAATGCTGAAAAAGGAAGAAAACCGGCTAAGAAACAAACACTGGCTAGAACAGCCAGGACTACGGCAGGCCAAAGATCTACTGGGCAACTTTAACAAAAAAAGATCAGAACTGCTAGTCAATCTTAGCAAGAAAAGTCTCCAAACGGTAACCGGGTTCCTCTCGGGACACTGCAGACTCAAAAAACACCTACACAAATTAGGTCTGGAAGAAAATGGCACCTGCAGATTCTGCGAACACAGAGAGGAAACACCTCACCACCTTCTACTGAATTGTAATGCCATTAGTCGTTCAAGGATGAAGAATCTGGGAAGCCCCACCATACAGTTGAAAAATATTTCAACTCTGGAACCGCTGGATATTCTAAGATTCCTTAAGGACTTAGGACTAGAGGGGCTGCTTTGAGCAGGAAGCCCCAATGACGAAGCCCTGACCTAGCAGCAGAAGAAGGGGGACAATAGATCTACCAGGTCGTGGTGCAACTGACACCTCCAACACATACAACATACCAAATACTAAGGGCAAATTTTAAAAGTGCCTTGGAGAAAATTGAAGAAAAAGTCCAACATCAGAGTTGTGGGTCCAATACTTTGGTATGACCACTTTGATCAAACTGTTCATACAGGCAGAGTATGCTGGTGATTGAAACCTTCATTTTTACTTTGTCCACAAGATGCTTCCTTTTTTCCATGCAGCTGGAAATTTTTTATACGCTAAGAGCGCGCACCTCTACCTCCAGGATATGATGGCTCTACAAGATCGGATGGACAAAAGTGAATACGACAAGTTCACACAAGAATCCTTCACCATTCGCCGGTCTGACAAGTTTTGGTCTGGGTTGTGGTCCATGAAGACCTACAGTGGGTTGATCCAAGGAAGGGGAATCTTCGACAGTGTGCTGGCAAGGTGCACAACAGGAATGGTGTTTATGGTGAACATGTGAAGAACTTGAAATTTTTTTCAGCATTTCATGTCCCACTGGGGAGCAGCATGTAGACATGAGACCTTCTCGAATCATCCGAGATAACAGTGATGTGGAAAAACTCAAAAACTGGTTCCCTCTCCACCCTCCATTTCTCAAAACTGACAGTTTGCTTTCTATCAGTAGTGGTTAACTAGCAGGTCCTGGGATTAATTGCCACATGGCCCAGACAGTTGGAACGGAGGGAGTGACCAAAACCCACTTATGACTGTTTTTGGTTATCTGCTGTTTTTGAGAGAACCGTTCGGCCTACAGGTACCAGTCTGGTCTTAGATGAAAGCTAATTAAATTTACTACAGCTTCATTTTAAAACTTCGATAGGTTTATCTCTAACAGTTTTCGAGAAAAAAAAATTATATCTGTTTCAGTCATAAGAAACAGTGTGTTAGAAAGAGACCTTCCTCATTTTCCTTACACATATAAAATCCTTTTCTAACACATTGGTCCTTACGACAAAAACAGATATAATTTTTTTTCTCGAAAATTGTTAGAGATAATCCTATCGAACTTTATATCATTGAAATCAGCAAAAACAGAGCTATCCAATGAGCTATTAATATATAGGATGTTTCATTTGAAAATATCGGAATTTGGTCGATATCTCGAAATCGGAACGATATAGAAAAAAACTGAGTCCGCCACTGGATTGTGCTCAAAAAATTGTCTCCATAATGTTTTCACAGAAATAAAAAAAATTGATAAATAAAAAACTTTAAGCCATTTTTCATAATAGGGAAAAATCGAAAATCTCCCTGTATCAATGGTACCATTGAAGATATCGTGATACGGTTTTTGACAATTGACGTTTCTCAAAAATCGATCCCATGACGCCTAAGTCAATTTTCCTCTATCTGGTCTGGAAGTATGTTTTTCCTGTTGAAACACTTCAAATTGCAGCACCCTGTACATGGTCCCAACTATTTCATAGGGACAGCATTGCTATCTCGGGAACGGTTAAATAAGTTACAAGGGCGATTAAATTAGAAAAAAGTTGCATTTTTGAAGAATATTAAAAATATAATACTTTTGAATATAAACTATGTCTCTAATGCCCGTATTACATCTGTGTATTTTTCCGTGTGTTCAGGGTGACAACCGAAAAACTTCAAATCCAACATAAATCAGCATTATGAAAAACAAAATAATGTTGGCACCCTGAACTACATGAATAATTACACAGATGTAATACGGGCATAAAATCAATAGATTTTAAAATATTTGATAAAATTGTTTTCGCTAATTTTCAAAAATCACCCTGTATTTGCGAAACTAATAGAAATTTGGCAACAACAAAAATATATTCTTCAAAAATGACAATTTTTTTCTAATTTAAACGCCCTCGTAACTTTAACCGTTCCCGAGATAGCAATACTGTCTCTATGAAGGACTTTGTATAGCCATTTGTCGGCGTATTCCTAAAATATTTTCTATAAAACGAGAAATATCCCTATTGGGTACCAGTTTAACATGATAGGAGCTTCTCTCTATACAGGGCGTCCGAAATAACTTGAAGTACATGGGGATTTTGGAAACCATGGATGATACAGGGTGGACCAAATGGGAAAAAAGTTCCACGATCAAGTGCTTACAAATAATCTGTCAACTTCTTTAAACTCGGAATAGCAACGGATATACAGGGCAAAAAAGAAAAAAGTGCGTTTTATAAAATCCTCTATATCTTGTTTAAATTAAAAAATACAATCAAGAAGTTCAAGGAAGTTGATGACAGATTATTTTTAGGTACTTGATTGCATAACTTTTTCCCGTTTGGTCCACCCTGTATCCAATTGTTTCCAAAACCCCTATGTACTTCAAGTTATTCTGGACACCCTGTATATTAACAATGTCGTAGTGACGTGACGTGTAAGAATCTTGAAGCGCATCTTTCCTTCTGTCTCTCGAAATAGTTTTAGATAAGCCAATCTGAATGACCTCATAATACCAAATCTCAAATCTTAGTAACCCTTTCAGTACTCTCTGGATCAAATCAATGCCCTGTATATTGTTAGTCGATTTTTAACTGACACTTGCGATATGAGGAGCGAGGGGCAAAAACAGGTGTGATGTCAGGTAACCATTGGCGTACTAATGTACGGAGATACCAGCTCACATTCCGTCCGAGTATCAGATATCGACAAACAATAGAGAACAGGTTCCAGATACTATGGTCTACTCAATTTTAAGTCTCATATATAATGTTCATTGCATATGGGTTTTCGTCTCTTAATTAATCTCAATATAAATTCGATATTGGCAACGAAACTGTTTTCAGTGAGGCTTTTAGAAAAATACTAACTGCGCTCCGATTCTGATATAAAACTGTATCAAAGCGGGAACCTTGGGAAACGTAAATGCGGGCCACAAGGTTTAAATTTAGATGGATATTTTTTTGTAAATAGAAGAGGGCGAGTCAAATGACAGTTCGAACATAAACAACACTGTCTTGTAGATGAATGCCTATAATTTTTCATTATTAAAACCTCATCAGCCAATGAATGTGTTTTATTTTAAATTAATGATTTATTCTCCAATGAAAATTATTCTTTAATATTAGGGACCATTCCATGGCATTAAAGATAATCAAGAACGTAGAAAAATACAGAGAAGCTGCCAAGTTGGAAATTAACGTTCTCGAAAAGTTGTCTGACAAAGATCCTGATTGTAACCAGTAAGTTATCCCTAATTTGATCAATTAAAATACGGTTTAATAATATTATTTGTTTTCAGTTTATGCGTTAAAATGCTGGATTGGTTCGATTACCATGGTCACATGTGCATTGCTTTCGAAATGCTGGGACTTAGCGTATTTGATTTTTTGGTATGTGTTACTCTGTTATAAGCTTCCGTAAAGCTGATGACATTTTATTTCGCTTTACAGAAAGACAATAGTTATCAACCCTACCCATTGGAACAAGTGAGACACATTGGCTATCAACTTTGTTATTCAGTCAAGTTTTTGCACGACAACAAATTGACCCACACAGATCTCAAACCGGAAAACATCCTGTTTGTTGATTCTGATTTTGATTTTGTTTATAACTCCAAAAAGGTGAGTTTTATTATAATTCTCCTGTTTTGACTTCATTTATAATGCTAATTATTGTTAAAATATCAACAATGCTTTATTCAACATAAACTTAAACAGTTTTTTGAACTCTATATTCATACTATGCCAAACCATCAGGGTTAGTGCCAGAAATATATTTTTTTTTTGTTCTGTAAAACTAAAGTTTTGTTTCTGATTTTAGCGAAAGGACGTTAAGAGAGTAAAAAGGACTGATGTTAGGTTAATCGACTTTGGCAGTGCTACATTTGATCATGAACATCACAGTACCATTGTTTCGACTCGGCATTACAGAGCTCCAGAAGTAATTTTGGGTAAGTGTGACACATTCAGTAAACTGAAAGAAAAACAAAAAAGTTTTGTGAAGTTGTGATGTGTAATTTTTCACTATTTAAAATTTTAATCCTCAGAAATTCATATATGCGTATTTAGATGTACCGATTCATCTGGCAAACTGTTTGTTGGAGTTTATGTTTTTTGATTGATGTTAATGTGAGTGCTCTTGAAATTGCTATGATATACAAACTAAAACGGAACGTTTTATGCGACGTTATAATATGTATCAGTTCCACGCATTAAAATTTAACATTCCTATTGTTTATTCCGTTCTATTTTTAAGTTTCATTAAGTAATACTTGAATGATATTCTTAAAATACATTTTTATAGTCTTGTTTGAAAAACACATAATTAAAGTAAACTAATTTGTTTGTTTTACAGAACTAGGATGGTCACAACCTTGCGATGTATGGTCGATAGGCTGCATCCTTTTCGAGCTCTATCTCGGTATCACTTTATTCCAGACTCACGACAATCGTGAGCATTTAGCCATGATGCAACGGATCCTTGGAGAAATACCGCAGAGGTGAGTGTGAATATTTTGATGATTTTTAAATAAATAAATGTTCAATTAACTGTCCAGCCATTTAACATGTTGTACATTCAGTAAGAGTGACAAAAATTACAATAAATACATAAAAGGTTCAGCCTTAAACGTCAAATAAAATAAAATAAAACAAAACAACAAAGTCAAAAAACAATTAATATGTAAAGAAAGAAACCTACCATAAACAATTCAGTAAGTCCGTGTAAAATATGCTCCGTCTAACCCTTTCTCTAAAACTATTTATGCCAGTATGAAAAACATCAATATCCGTGCATACTCTATTTGCCAAACTACAGGATCTAGTCATGCTAGAAGAAATACCATAATTAGTTCTGTGATAGTGAACTTTAAAGAGATTATTAGTGCGCAGATTCCTTTGTGGCACATGAAACAGCAAATCAGAACAATCAATATTATAAATAATTAATTTATGTAAAAAGCAGAGGTCTAAAAACATTCTTCGTTGTTTGAGTGGTGGTATATTTAGAAGTTTCATTATATCAGCATAATTGATATGATCGACTGGCACACTCATCTTATAAGCTACAAACCTAATGAATTTTCGTTGGACACTTTCGAGTTGCTGTATATATATTTTATAATGAGGTGACCAAACCTGACAAGCATATTCCAAAACAGACCTAACATAAGCACAGTATAAAGCCCTAAAACATTTCAGATCAGTGAAATCCTGCAGAGTACGCTTAATAAATCCTAAAACTTCTAATGCCTTGCTAGTTATGCAATTAATATGGTTATTAAATGAAAGTTCTCTGTCGAAGAAAACTCGCAGATCTTTTATACAGTCCACTGTCTCTAAGATCTCATCATTTATGCTGTACTCAAACTGAGTGATGTTCGTTTTTCGATAGAAACGCATAACCCTAAATTTTTTTGTATTAAATTCCATCTCACCAAGAAATCAGATGATCAATATCTTCCTGAAGTTTTTTACAGTCTTCCATGGATTCAATGCATTTATATAATTTTAGATCATCTGCATACAAAAGTATGTCAAAGTGCTGTACAACAGTAGAGATATCATTGATAAAGACATTGAACAGCAACGGAGACAGATGAGCTCCCTGAGGTACTCCGGAAGCTACATATATTTTCCTTGACAGAGCACTCTTAATTTCAACAAACTGACATCTATTTCCAAGATAACTACGAAACCAAGCAAGCATATTTCCAAAAAATCCCAAAGCTTGCAGATTTCCCATTAACACCTCATGATTTACTTTATCAAAAGCCTTGCTTAAATCAGTGTGTATATGGAGTCGATTTGTCGTCTGGCTTCGAGTGACTATTAGACTCTGCTCATATATCATTAAGTTTGTTACTGTTGATTTGCCCAAGGGCATCAGCATGGGTTTATCAAGATAAACCCATGCTGATGTTCTACTAGAATTCCCTAAAGTTGGGGAACTGATTTTGAGTATACAATAGAGTCAAATAATTTAGGGAATGAATAGAACTTGGTGATGGCTCTATAATTCGAAACCTCTGACTTGTTTCAACTTCTAAATACTGCTGTAATATATGACTGCTCCTAAGCCTCAGGAAATCTACCGCTATTTAAAGATTGTCGGAACACCCTACACAAAACTTATGATAAAATACACACTGAATTCTTTAAAAATCCTGCCGCGACATCATCAGTGCCTGCACCTAATTTATTACTTAATTTCATTATTGCATTGGAAACATCAATCTCATTTATATCACAAACTCCTATGTTAACTTCATTAGGAATAACAAAATTATAATTATCACAGTTTCTTATCACTATAAACAGAGGAAAAAAAATCGGCAAAGAAATTTACAGTATCTGTCGAAGTATTTTTTAATGGTACCCCCTGTATATTATGACACTTCTGGATTCTGCGAAAAATTCTAGACATATTTCATGTACAATGTCATATACCTATCTTCAACTGTTTCGGAAATATTGACAGTTGAAAATTGACTTTTTTGCATCTTTGACAGACTGTAAAAGCTAAATGATTGATTTTACAGCGAAACCATTTCCACATTCCTATCCTAGATTTTCATAAACTATCATTTAACAGCAACTTTGAATTTAACCGGAGATTAATAATTTAAGCGAAATTTCTAATCATGGATTAAATTCAAAGTTGGTGTCAAATGATAGTTTATGAAAAACTAAGATGAGAATGTATGATCGGTTTTGCTGTAAAATTTACCGTTCAGATTTTACAGTCTGTCCAAGATGCAAAAAAGTCAATTTTCAACTGTCAATATTTCCGAAACAGTTGAAGATAGGTATATGACATTGTACATGAAATATGTCTAGAATTTTTCGCAGAATCCAGAAGTGTCATAATATACAGGGGGTACCATTAAAAAATACTTCGACATCCTCTAGTATATCTTGCATTTCTTTTAATATTCTTTGTTGACTTCTTTCTCCTTGACTTTTAAACAGAGTTGTTTGACTTATTATCTGACCAACCCAGTCAGATAAACCTATGCTTTGTTGTACCAAATTCTGATTTTCTTCTATCTCCTTTTCTTGTCTGTTCCGTTCTAAGAAAGAATATATAGGTGTCAGTGAACTGACACTCCTTGCTGATGATGGAAAAATTGCTTCTTTGACTACCTTTTTATCTAGAGGTGGAGATAAATCCTGTTGTGTTTTTCATTTTGGGGTTCTAACTGTTTGTGAGTAAAGTGGAGTTCTCCTATATGGGGCGCGTTTGGGTTCACGCTCGGTGCACTCAGAGCTTGCACTTTTGTCTCTTTTACGTTATTTTTGAAGCTCCGACAACGCTTGATTGTGTTTGGTTTGACATATTTTGAGCGTTCAGAGCGAGCTCGATAAACCCCGAGTTTGAGGAGTGGGCAGCTGGAGCGTGCATGCGCAGATCAAATGTGTTCAATCTTTCTGTATAACCTAACCTATTTTCCATGAGAAGAGAAGATAAATAAACAATCCTGAATTTTAACATATATTTGTTAGCTGGATAGTTTTACCTATTTTGTATAAATGTTAACAATCAAATAGCTAGTAAATTCTGCATAATTGTTTACTTTTAATTAAATTTTCTCGGTACTCCTCATCACTGGTATGTAGTAAACATATTTTTCCAAGGGAACTTGGCAACCTCAGAGTGTTTAGGTCCGTTTTATTGTTTATGTAGCACGACATTTTTAGCAGAACACAAAAGAAAATGTGACTGTTTGAAAATTATCGACAAAAATAAAAAACAAACGAGAAAACTCTGGTGCAAATGCGGAATGCGCGTTCAGACTCCAAAAATTATGTCCTAAAAAAAATAAACAATAATCAGCTGATCGCTCAACCCAGCATTTTTGCATGAGTTTATTTGGCTTGACACGGTGTACTCCCTGTGACGTCACGTAACTCCGTAATCGCTCTGCTCGCTCCGCCGAGCGTCAAGCCAAACGCGCCCATGCTGTCCTATTATTCCATTCCCTTCTTTCTTGGACTTCAATAACATTTTCCTTGATAGAATCATGCTTTGGCAATTGAGGAAAATCCTCTTTTTCCTGTACATATCTGTTACTCACTATCATGTTCTGTGTTCTTTTCTGGACATTTATTTGTGGATTTTGGGGTCTATTTTCAGAATTTAATGGACTCCAGGTCCTTGGACACCTAGCTCTAGCTTCATAAAAAGGTATATTTTCTAGTGTCATAATTTCATTAATTTGTTTCTGTCTTTTATATTCTGGACAATTTCTATCTAAAGCTGAATGTGTCTCTTGGCAGTGTATACACTTTGGACTTTCATCACATGTCTCATGTTCTTCAGTACATTTTTGGCATCTTCTCTTACTTCTGCATGATTGTTCAAAGTGTCCAAATCTTAAACAGTGTCTGCATTGTAGAACTGGTGGAATGTATATATATGTTTGTGACCAATAATAGTCAATTATAACCTGTTTTGGGAGTTTCTTACCTTCAAAAGTAACTATTAATGATTGCGTTGGACTATATTCAATTTGCCCTTCATCATTCCTTTTCCTGAAATTAATTCGTCGCGCTGAAATAACTTTAACTTCTGATTCTACTGTATTCACAAAATCTTCCACTGATATGTCTACTGGAATTCCCTTAATAACGCCTTTACAGCTAACTAAATTTACTGGTATAGCGGCTTCTAAATTTTCATTAATACAAAAGTTAGATTTAAGAAAATCATTTGCTCCCTTAGCTGTTAAGAATTCGATACCCAATCGATTTCTACCTTTTCTCACAATTTTATGTACTTCTTCAATCTTTGCTCTCTTTAAAGACCTACCAAGTTTTATTGGGTGAATTTTTGATAAATCCTTCTCTATATTTTTTGATTGAATAAGAACTATGAAAGGCCCATTATCATTTACTCGATATCTATTGATTTTTTGTTGCAAATTAGGTTTTTGTATGTCGTTTGTTACTGTATTACTATTGGAGGCAGCATTACTGCTGCCCCCACTATCGGAATCCATATAAGCAACAAGCACTTATTGAGGCAAATTTATCAAAAGCAATACAAAAAAAAAAACAAACTACAAAAGGATGGGTTATGGGTTGAATTTGTGTGAAAATGAATATGTTGTACTCTTACCGGCTGGATTTAAGTTTACTCGTATTTAAAATTGCCCTGATTTAACAGATTAATTCAATTATTTCTCACTCCGAAACGTGCCTGGAGTCGACAAGATTCTACATGGTTGGCACTCTGTGCATCAAAAATATAGACAAAACGCGATTTATTTTATACTTTCAAGTTCTACATCTCGAGACGTGTCGAATACTAATGACGCATGTGCATTGTGAAGTTTCATGAATGACATTGACAATTGCAAAATTGTTGTTGTTTATTTTTATATTCCATATTATATTGAGAAATAATTATTTCATTCCTATTTCTTATTTATTTAATATTTTCATTAGTTTATTTCGAACAGACGCCGATTTCCGATTATATTAATATTGTCATGAGAGTGAGAAGCGAGCATTTTCAAATGTTACTCCAGTTTGGTTTTGTAAGAAAAACCCAGCTTTACTTAATTACAAACAAATTTGATAGCATCCAGTGAAAAACGAAGGGCAATGTCTATGGTAAACTGTTGAAAAGTTTAGGATATGTGGTCATATTATTTTAACAATTTTTGTAACAACTAAAATATCAATTACTAGCTTTGTATTGGTTATTGGTATTGGGTGGAAAATTAAATTATTTAAAAATAAAACACGGAATAAAACACATATTATGGTTAAAATCTTTATAATAACATTTTAAAAAATCAGTGCATAAATGATAAAATGACGACGAATCAAATTGTTCCTTTCTTAGACTCCTGCTTGCATAACGTTGCATTATATGGTACCTCGGTACGTGAATGTTACCCCTCCGGATATGAGGTTCGAGAACCATTTAGTCTCTAGCTCTTCCGAGCAATTACTATGTAAAATAACACAAACAATAACAAAGCGCCCAACTTTTTCTGGGTCATGCCTCAACATTTTTGAAGTACACACAAATCTTTTTTTAAACACACCGATACAATTTCGAGTTAAGATGTGATTTTGGCTATAATTGAACTCTGGAGTTCCTGGAGCAGCGTTTTCTCTAGTAGGTGTCATTAGCCAGGGTTCTTCGTCATGTGGTCTAAGAATTTCACTCACTGTGGGTTCCATCGACCGCTCCTATCACACCTGGGAAATTAAGTTTTTCCATAAATCCTGCTTCAATTAGATTTTTCTATATTGGTCTGTTCTTGACATAGTTTGTTGAGCCACATATATATTATAGCTTTGCTCAATTAGCTCTTCAAATCTAACATCTTCACTGTTGTTGAGCATCACTGGATATTTTCCAGGCAAATATGTTCCAGCTTCTCATCTTCTTCAACAATATTCTTATTTAAATTATTAATGGGCAATAAAACATAATTTTTAAACTTCAAACTCAATTTTCAGGAAGCAAACATAGGTCTGAACAAGGCAAACAAGCAAACCAAATAATAACAAAAACAAACTTATTAATGACGTATACAGTCAATACAATGAATAATATTAACATTTCTTAAGAGTCAAATAAAAATTCCCTAGAGTTTCCCCTAGATTTGTACTACGTTTTTCGAATGGTTAGTAGCTTGATAAAAGGATCCGAGAACGTGGCCGAACTGTTGTCGATAGTGACACAGAGTGCCGTTTCAGTCGACTATTGCTTTTGAAAATAGATATCTGCTATAGAAAGCGAACTGTAGAATTCAATAGAGCACAGAGTCCCAGAGCTGCTTCTTATCGCTAAGATGGCGCCAACGGAACCGGTAGAATTCGATGTAAGCACAAGCGTCTGACGTATCACGTTAACATAACCACACTTTTGTTTTTTTTACCGTTCCATGACGTCATAACCAATTTGAGACCGTTTTCGCGCCCTTTGTTATATTCAATATTTGAATAATTAATTATTTACTAGTGGTTCAGTATAAAGAGGATTTGAATATGGAAATATACTTCTAGAGTATTTTGCTTCACTTTAAATACATTTTGCAGGAAAATAAAATTTTATGCAACTTCCTCATTGCTATTCTGTCAAGCGTTAGTATAGTTTTCGAATCCATACTTTATAAAGCAATAATAAACCATGTAGAAACTAAACTGCAATTAGGCATTCCAACGACCTATCAAAAAGTGCGTTGTGGCAAAAGTTCATTATCCCGTATATGAGAGTATGTAATTTAAAGCTTTTTAAAGTGCATTTTGTGGTTGTTTTGTGAATGAACTCTGTTTATTTTTTTATTTTATTGACTTCATTAGTGTTTCTTCCAATTAAAAATGCCACAAACTGCCCTTTGTTTTAAAATTTTTCAATTAAAACGTGAAAATTTTTCACTACCACTGTTCCTGCATCTGAAATAAAGCCATTTTCGAAATATTCGTAAGAATCTAAGCTTTTGTAGGCCTTCATTTGCTCATTAATGTGAACTGTGGATCAAAATGTCATCTAGACATTTTTTTAAACTAACCGTTCGCCCAGATTCCGATTTTCCTGCATTCAAGTCTTTAAATATTCACTCTGCATCTCAAAAAGTATATTATAACAAAGTAAACTGTAATTAGCTTGAAAATATTCCAAATAAACTCAAGATAAACAAACAAATGTCAAATTTTCCACGGTCGCCATATTGAAAAATCACATGGTTTGGAGAGCCTAATTTGGATTCCGGAAAAATAAATCAGTAACATGGAACTTGCTGGATTTTGTAACATATTCCACAGAAGTCCTAGCTGATGGTAACCAAATTGATGCGATTTATACAGATTTTGCTAGGGCATTTGACAAAGTGGACCACAACATTGTAGTGCAAAAGCTTACATCCTTCTCAATCTCATCAGACCTTTGTCAGCTGATCAGATCATATCTTTCAATAAGAAACCAATTTGTATGTGTAAAAAATTACGAATCAAACACTTACACAGCCACTTCGGGAGTCCCACAAGGTTCCGCCTTAGGGCCTCTCTTATTTCTCTTATTTATAAATGATATCACAAGTACCATAAAATCCTGTAAAATTCTATTGTTTGCTGATGATATGAAAATCTTCAAAGTAATAAAAAACATTAATGACTGGCTTAACCTGCAAAATACAATAGACAATATATATAATTGGTCAAAGGAAAATCTCTTGCATTTCAAAATTGGGTTTTTGGAAAGAGGTATTTTGTTTATCACAAAAATTAGACAAAGAACATGATAATTTGCAAATTAAAGTTTCAAAAAAAGACTTACCGGAAGTTCTTGTGTGGCCTTAAGGAGAAACCATGTGGTTTGTTGTAGAAATATCTTGGAAAAGTCCTAAAATTTTCTGATTTTCCCGAATTCGAATCAGCACTTAGCACGAATGAGTGAACTTACAATATTCACCTCAATATGGGAAACGAAAAGGGACTTTCCCAATAATTAAATCGGCAAAACGTACCAGGGTGAAAGTATTATAGCAGACTATGCAGCCTTAAACGACCTTTGATGTAATGAATGGCCCATACAGGAACCAATATATCGACGCTGAGGAAACATAAAAAAAATTGCAACCTCTTTCTTACTGCATTCTTTGAATTCTTGTTCCTTTTGCTTAAGTAAAAGTTAGAATTATAATTTTTATTGGCTATTGGGATCTTTTAAATATTTACACTGCTGAAATTTATAAATTATAAATCTCGATATCATTAATTTCCCTCAATTTTGTAATCAAAAATTACCAGTTTTTATTGTTTTGGTTTTGCATAATGAAATTATGGATAATTTTAATTTTTTTCATTTGAAGCATAAACAGACCGTAACACTGATCCTTTGTAATTATGCTTGGATTTGCAGGAGAGCTATTTTTATCATGATTTGTGAACTTGGTCGGTGTTGACATGTTTTTCAACTTCGGCAATCTTGGTTTCGGTTTGCGATTTAGCCTCATCTATGAGGATTTTTAGTGGTTCTACACTATTCTTTAAATCCTTCTTCAGTGATTCCATCTCTGTTTTCCAGTGATCTATTTGTCTGATTGCTTTTGGGAATTCCCTGAATGTAACAAGGCATTCGGGACAGAGATGAACTAGTGTCCTGGAGTTACTTGAAATTATATTTCCTGTGCCATAAACCCATTGCAATTTTCACATATTATTCTGCTACACTCATCACAAAGATACCCAAATAGCTTCAGATTATCTTCCTTCAAAACGCACTTTCTTTACATTTGTAGCATTTGTTTTGGTTCGTCATTTCAGGTTAGAGATGAAATTTAAAAAAAAAAAAGAAAAATAACTCAGATTACAGGAAAACCAGATAGTCCAGCCGTTGCGAAATACGTTATTGAGGTCTGTAGATACTCAAAAATATCCTTAAACATGTGAAAATATATGAAAATACGCGAAAAACTTCAGACGAAAATTGTAAACATTGAATATTTTCAATGGAAACATGGTATAAATAGATTTGATAAGCTAATTTGTTGACTAAAAATACAATTTTTTTTTATTGCAGAATGGCAAGGAAAACAAAAACTAAATACTTCTACAAGGGTAGACTTGATTGGGACGAAAAGAGTTCTGCTGGCAGATACGTCCGTGACAATTGCAAACCTCTATTGGTAATTTTATTAACAATTACAAAATATTGTATTTTCATATTGATTAATTTTTAGCGGTATAAACAATCTGACGATATTGATCACAACTACCTGTTTGATCTAATCTTCAAAATGTTGGATTATGAACCTTCAGAACGGATAACATTGAAAGAAGCTCTGAAACATCCATTCTTTGACAAAATTCCTGGAAACCAGCGCCTTGGTGATCCTGGTGCCGCAGGAGATCGTGGCAGCCCATAAAATTATTTATCTAAGGAAATTTTGCGTTTATTCGTCAAATAAAAAAGTTTCCCTCCCAAAATAAAAATACTGTGTTTTGTAATGATAACATGATGTTTTTGTAAATACTTTTTTTTTTATTGGAACAGGCAAATTCACCATAGTTAGTAGTAATTCTAAGTGATTTTTAACTAAATATTTATTTTCAAATTAATTCGACACTGAAAATGGGTTTTTATAAACTTATTTTTTGTTAAAAATTTTCATTTTCTGATTTATTTATTATTAGAGAAATCAAAACCTACTGTCCTAACTTTGATATCAATGAGAAAAATATGAGCATAGAGTTCCATCAGAATTAATTGCTATGTAGGGTGTAAGAAATGAGTTAAATGAGCGAAAAAGTTTCTTTAAAAATATTTGACTTTGATAGAACTTGATTTTGTTTTAAGGTTGTCTGTTAATTTCTGTGGAAACTCTGCGTAATTTTTATTCGATTTGAATACATGTAAATTGCAAGTGTTCGATTATTGTTAAAGAAACTATTATTCTTCAATATTAAGGTTATGTAAATATTTGCATATAATGTGTATCAATAAAGTATAGTTTTTAATACAATTTTGTTGTTTTATTTAGCTGAAAACGGACATTGGAAAAAACAACACAAACGGGTCAAACTACAAGAAAACAAGTAAATAGTTATTTAAGGATTATTATTATTGTGGTTTTTGGCAATGGAAAGCTGCCTAAGACCGATGAGTCCATCGCTTTTGATATTTCACAATTGTTTCTGGGTTCAGGGAATTCCATTTATAGATTATGGGAGAAGAAGGTTCTCTCCGGCCTCTAACCGGCGTGAGTGAAGGGAGGACGAAGATAGATTTTGCACTCTTCCCTATGCAGCCACTAAATGTCCGACCGAAAATAGTTGTCGGTCTGGCCAGTATTCATTTTCATATTTCATAATCAAAGTTCATTTTTGGTATGCGTATACAGAGTGGTAAAAAAGTCGCGCATAATACCTGTAACTTTTTAATTATCTCGTATACGAAAAAGTTACTTCTAGGAACACCTACGGAAATTGAGGTTGAAAGAAAAAGCACTTGTAGATTCTGTGAATATGCAGAGAAAACACCTCGCCACTTTCTACTGAACATTGCTATGCCGTGTTAGTCGTTTAGGGATGATGAATCTGTGACCCTTAAACAGTTAGATGACATTTCATGTCTAGAACCACAGGAAGATCAACATCTAGGTCGCAGTGACGCCTCTTACACAGATACAACATACGACAACCACATACTTTGAACAATTTCCTTCATTATCAATTTACAGGTGTGAAGCTGTTGTTAATTGTTATCCACTGATGAGAAAATATTTGGTTTGATTTTCTATGCCTTTGCTTTTCCATCCATAGACGCGTTTCGACCTATCAGGTCTCATCAGTATGGCTAGGAAAAGCAAAGAAAACCAAACCAAGTTTCGTGCCTGTAGGCAATATATACATAGTACAACGTTGTACTATGTATATATTGAAAGAAGCTCTGAAACATCCATTTTTTGACAAAATTCCTGGAAACCAGCGCCATACATAGTACAACGCTGTACTATGTATATATTGCCTACAGGCACGAAACTTGGTTTGGTTTTCTTTGCTTTTCCTAGCCATACTGATGAGACCTGATAGGTCGAAACGCGTCTATGGATGGAAAAGCAAAGGCATAGAAAATCAAACTAAATATTTTCTCATCAGTGGATAATAGGTTTTCCTATTCTGGGTTTTTCCCACGAACTGAATTTTGGTCGGCCAATTAGATACTCAGTCACCATATTGCAGCGAAAATTGCTGCTTGGTGAAGTTTTGTCTTAGATGGCGCCACGATCAAATTTCGACCGTTGTTAATTGTTATTCCTTTTCCAGGTAACATAGTAAAACTCCTCAGAAAGGTACAATTTTCCTTCACGAAGCATGAAAAATATATTTAAAAGGAAATGGACCTCGAAGAATAATTCTGGTATCTATATTATTATTATCAAGAAAATCTCATAACAAAGCATACTAAATCTAAGCCTCATATAAGCTAAGAGGACAATATTGTATAAATACGCAAAATAAAATCTTAAATACTACACAATGGATTAAAATATTGACTGGAGATGGAGAATCTGGTAAAAAATTTCAAAATGTACATAAAGTTATTTGAAATGATTGATCAGGTACAGAGGGAAGTAATTCAGAATTTATGTTGGACCATCACAAAACACTATCGAACCACCCCATTTTAAAACTCGTAATACGGTTTGGTAAGCAGAAACTTCTTTATTCCCCCTAATGATTAAAGATCTTTTTGCTCTCGTAAATAAGGAATCACTTTGTCAGTGTGCTTGAAGGTATGAGAAGCAGAATATTATTTAAACCACGGATCATATAAATCTAATTAGTAACTGTGAACTCATGAGGATATTTGTATACTAAAACAGAGGTATCCAAGACAAAAAGGCTGATGGTAGTATACTTAGGTAGTATACCATCAGCCTCAGAGACAAACAATGGTCTACAAAAATCCCGAACACCCCCACCCACCACAAACAATCCTTGGGGCTTTCTTCTGCAAAATCAGGGCTTTGGATGTGAAACCCCAAATCGGCAAACCATATCAAAGGTGCGACTCAACAAGCACAGAATACACCATACGGGCAAGTCCCTTTCCCAGTTTCTGTTTACCTAACTTTAATGCAAAACATCCTGATAACAACTTAACTGCATAAATCCAGAATGTGCCTTTCAATACGAAGCCTCGCGTCAATAATGAGGCCTTTGCTTGTTTGAAATTAATTTTAGTTTTTTTTTTCCTGAAATGTATCCTTGGTGAAAACATAAAACAAAATACTATTTTATTTATATTTTTATTAGAGTTATAAAATTAAAACTATTGTGCAGCACCATCACCAGCGGGCATGGACTTAATGATGTCAGAGTCACCAGGATCGGTGATGGACATGGCGCACACCCTAAAGTATTTACCGCAGGCGGTACCTAATTCTACATTGTTTCCAGTGTAGTGGTGGACGCCAGTTTTAGCCAACATCGCGTAGTATTCAATTTCTGACTTCCTTAACGATGGCGTGTTGTTGGAAATGATGATCAATTTGGCTTTACCTTGTCTAAGAGTCTGAAAAAAATGGAAAAAAATAAATTAAAAATCTATGTAGTGCCAATCGGTAATACACCTGGATATACAAGAAGCTAGATCCTTGCATTCTATAAGAAAGTACCAGAGTAACAATCAGTTTTTTGTCGCATATTTTAATCATTATATTCACTATTTTCAGGAATGATAGAGACCGGGATGCAACAGGCAAAACAAGAGGAGGAGGAGTACTAATCGGTATCAGAAAGGAATTTAAATCATGTACACTGGACAGCCCCAGGAATTGTACCGCTCATGGAGAATTATGGGTAAAGGCAGAAATAGATAATAAAATCCTAATTTTGTGTGTATCATATTTTCCTCCGAAATCTTTATTATCAAAATATGAAGCTCACACTGAAAATATCGAACATTTTTCTAATTTATATGAAAATTATTCTTTGTACCTGTAAGGAGACTATAATTTACCTACATCAACATTTTTTGACTCTGATAATTTTAATAACTCTCAGGTTAGGAACTGCCCGGCGAGTGAATGTATTATAGCTGCAATATGTTACTCTAATTTAAGACAAATCAATTTCAAATGTAAATAATGTATTTCTTGATCTCATCTTTACAAATGATTATGATTTTGGATTGGAACTCGCATGCGATATTCTAGTAACTTGTGATAAACATCACCCAGCTCTAATGATATACATCGATATTACCAATAATAGTAGTGAATTGCCAGTGAACAATAGTCATTACATTGTAGATTATAATAAAGCTAATTATGATAGCATAAATAACTTTCTTGTGAATGTAAACTGGGATAACATCTTAGCCTGTGATATAGATTTAGCGATAGATAGGTTTTATGCAATTTTAGATCGCTGTTTGGATGAATTTGCGCCAAGGCTCAAAGTAGGGAACGATTTTAAGTTTCCAATTTAGTTTAGCCAAGAGCTAATACAGCTTACCATTGAAAAAAAAATAGTCCATAAAAAATGTAAAAGCTTTCCTTCCGATGCCAATTATAAGTTTTTTTCCGATATCAGAACACAGATATTGGATTGGATATTAAGTCTTTCTGGAAGTATGTGGATTCTAAAAAAGACCAGAGTGGTATTCCTAAATTACTCAACTATCAGGATTAAGAACTTTCAAGTCCTGCTGATATTGCAAATGCCTATGCCACTCACTTTTCATCCGTGTATATCAGTGATGACAACATTCAGCTAAGAAACCATCTATCTTTTAATGATTTAAATGTTAACTCATTTCATTTTAAAATTTCTGATATTATGAGTAGATTGGACTCGGTAATCCCAACTAAGGGACCAGGTCCTGATAATGTCCCCCCAATATTCTTAAAAAATTGCTCATTTTCTCTCGCAAGGCCATTATGGATCTTGTTTAATAATTCACTGTCAATGGGTATTTTTGCTCAAAAGTGGAAAGCAACCTATATAATCCCTATTTTTAAAAACAACGGGAATAAAAATAACATAGAGAACTCTCAAAAATCTCTCAGATACCTAAGATAATGGATTCAATGATCACAGACTTCCTAGAGGGTTGCACTAAAAACTTAATCATACCTAACCTAATCAGCACGGTTTTGTGCAAAATAAATCAATAGTATCAAATCTACTAGTGTACACTAGCTTCATAACTGATCAACTCGAACTGGGATATGACGTAGATTCAGTTTACACCGATTTTTCAAAGGGATTTGACAAGATAAATCACACTTTACTAATAAATAAACTGTCACTTTATGGAATCACAGGGAATCTCTTGACCTGGATAAAGTCTTTCTTGACAGATAGGGTGCAACTTGTGAAAATCGAAAATACACTGTCGGATCCCATTAAAGTGAGGTCAGGCGTACCACAAGGAGGACATTTGTCCCCTCTTTTATTCAATTTGTTTATCAATGACATTCAGTCTTGCTTTGTGCACTCCAAATTTCTTTTATACGCTGATGATTTGAAGGTCTATAAAAGCATAACAAATCATGATAGTTCCAATCTACTCCAAGAAGATTTGGATAGGTTTTCTGAATGGTGTAATCAAAATAAAATGATCCTTAATGTGGATAAGTGTAAGTGGATTAAGTTTAGTAGATCATCTGGTTTGCGACAGCAAGATGGCTATAAAATAAATAACAAATATTCGGAGAAGTTGAACATAATTAGAGATCTTGGGGTATTAATAGATTATAAACTTACATTTTCTGCCCCTGTAGAGAACTGTTATAACAAAGCCATACGTATTTAGGCTTTGTCAAGAGAAATACTAAAGATTTTAAAGACATAAACATAATAAAATTATTATACACATCTCTAGTTAGATCTCAGCTAGAAAACTGTTCTGTCATTTGGAGTCCATTCTTTCAAACCTATGTTAAAAAGTTAGAAAGTTTTTAAAATATATTGCTTTTAAGAAGGGGTTATCATCTGACAATTTAAGCTATACACTATTGGAAAAGACTATAGATTTGCACAGTATAGAAAGGAGAAGGGAGATATCAGATACTTTGATATGTTTGAAAATTATATCTAATTACATTGACTGTTCAAAATTACTTGAATTAATCCAATTTCATGTGCCTTCACGAACTTTGAGGGAAGGTAAAACGTTTGAATTGAAATTTCACAGAACTTCCTATGGCCAGAACTCTCCTCTGACCAGGATAATGAGAACAGCCAATTCATTTGATGGCGATCTATTTAACATAAGTCTCAATGCCTTAAAGTCCAAACTTAAAAACAAACAAACTCCGCCCTTCTGATAGCTTTATTAATTTGAAGAAAATCTTTTGTCTGTGTTAAATTAGTATTTAGTGTGTTTAAATTGTTTAAGTCCATTCTACTGTTTTTATTATTTTTTTTGTTTGTTTTATTTTACTTTACTTTGTTTTATTTGTAAGTCACTCTTTAAAATTTAATTTTAAGTACATATTATGTACGATTGGGTACAACCCGTTTATATGATGAATAATAATAAATGAATTTATAGGAAAGGAATTAGGGTGGCAAAAGAGCTTTACTATAAATGGAGGATTGAAGGTGCAAAGAACAAAACAAAAAAGAACTGGGAAATAGTTAATGAATTGAGGGGTAAAACCAATTTATTGCAAAATAATATTGAAATTGATCTAAGCATTCTTAATAATTTTTACTGCACAATAGGCGAACAATTAATTTCAAATTTAAATTCCAAGAAAGATCCTATAGATTATTTGGTGGATATCTATGTTCCTGAAATTTTTATTTTAGAAAGAACAAATCTGGAAGTAAGGATGATTTTCAAAGAAATATTAAACAAGAATTCGGCAGGTTACGATTGAATCTCAGTAAGAATATTGGAGTGCTTGCCTGAGTCTGCATTGCATGTACTTGCATGTTTCATTAATCAGTCATTTGCGGCGGGCGAATTTCCAACATGTTTAAAAAAATGCTGTTGTAGTTCTGTTGTTTAAGGGGGGTGATATGAGTGATCCTTCCAACTTTCATCCTATTTCCCTTTTATCTACGTTTTCGAAGGTCATTGAGAAAATAGTGAAGAAGAGATTAATGATTTTTTTGGATAACAAAATATTAAATCCTGTCCAGTTTGGTTTTCGCTCGGGTAAAAATACAGATGATGCCATTTTCTCCTTGCTCCATCACGTTTATCAAAATATAAATTGTGGCGATGCTGTTGCAGCAACATTCTGTGATTTTTCGAAAGCATTTGATTGTGTGGATCATGGAGTGTTGCTGCAGAAGCTGAGACACTATGGGTTTAGGGAGCTTACATTGAAATGGTTTTCTGCCTATCTTTAGGGGAAGAATGCAGATGGCAGCGACAGCGGATGGCGAATACTCTGATAGATCACTTACTACACTACAAGAGGCGTTTCACAAGGCAAGTTCTAGGACCCATTTTATTTTTATTGTTCTTAAATGACTTAGCAGCTCTAAAGATTCGTTTACATTTTTCGCGAATGATACTAGTCTTCTTTGGCATCGTAAAAACAGGGATGACCTCAAATTAACTGTTGATGGGGACCTGCGTGAAGTTAAGCTTTGGTGTGATGCAAATTTGCTTTGTTTTAATGTAAATAAAACCATCATGATCACCATTGGGTTTTGCTTCAATGATTTGTATTTGAATGATGAAATTGTAGAAAATAAACCCCTTACAAAATTTTTAGGTCTCATCATAGACAATAAACTTAAATGTGAGGACCATATAAGGGCACTAAGTAAAAGGTTGTCTGCTAGTTGCTTTGCAATCAGAATAGTTTCCAACGAGCTTAGTTGTTCTACCACAAAAATGGTTTATCACTCACTATTTGAATCTCTTGTGAGATTTGGTATAGCTTTTTGGGGATTTACTAACAGGCAACAGTTTAACTCGATATTTGTTTTACAAAAGAAGGCAATTCATTATTTGTGTGAAGTTGCAGGTCGTGAACATTTTCAACCGTTATTTATTAGGGAACCTGTACCATATTTATTTATATTGGGTACAACACTAGAGTAAGTTCGAACACTAATATAGGCTTACCTATACCAAAGTCTGCTTTAGCAAAACACTCAATATTCTATGAGAGCAAAAAAATGTACGCTTTTATTTACATTTTATCATTTTAGTATAGTTTTAAGTATATGTAATATTGCTTGGATCGCCGTCCTATTTGTCAAATTGTTTTCAACTTGTTTGTATTTACATTGTTGTACTATTGGTGTTTTTTTTTTCTGTTTTACTTTTAGGTTAATGCTTTGTCAATAGAATATTTTTTCTTGGATAATAAAGTATGATTGACTATGGCTATGACTAGCTTTGAATGTTTAGGTGGAAAATTTAGGTGTAGCAGAATTAATGATTGGAAGAAATATTGCTCAACATTCAACTACTAAAAATTGACTGATTTGATTTGGAACAAAAAAAAATAATTCTGCAGTTTATTTTTTCTCATGATAGATTTTGACATTGTCAACTTTGAAATATAAAGAATGCCGTTTAGGCCTAAAACACACGGA